CTTTTATTCTGGCCATGAAACAGTGGAACAGATCTTTACCCTTGCAAAGGTGCTTAAGGGCTTGAGCCTTCAGTCTACATGTGCGTTGTAGATCTACAGGAGACTTATGAGTATGTGGAGTGCCAAATTTGTTCAAAGGGCTATTTAGTCTCATCTCAAGAGCTGTGTCTCCATCTTTGGAACAAAGTCAAGCTCATTGGTTGGACTCTCTCAGAGCTGTCCATGGTCTCTGAGCCTGTTTGTAGTGTTCATGGACAGGATCTCAAGGTGCAGTCATGGAGAGGAGAGTGTCTAGTTTGGAAATCTCAGACCATATTAAGATATTTTGCTTCCCATCAGGGAGATTTCTGAATTCAAAACTGGTGAGTGTGAAGTCTGAAGCTTTAAACTGCATGAGATACTACATTAATGCAAGCTAAATTCACATGCAGATTAATTCACATGCAGAATAATTCACATGCAGATTAATGCACATGCAGATTAATCTCACTCCCCTCCCACCTTAGAGGATCAAAGTGGAGAAAGACCCTTTCTCCTTACAGATCACAGGGCTTTTATGCTTATTCCTGCAAACAGATGTCTAAGTACCACCAGATGTTTTTTTTATAAACACAGGTTTATCAGTCTGTGTTTTGAAGGATCATTTCTGATCTATGATTGCTTTGTAAACAATGCAGCAAACAGGAGTTACACACAGCATCTCAGCAGGATCCCTGAACATCTGCCAGTGAGGTTAAAAGAAACAAAAATTTAACAAACAGAGCTTCAAAAGGGTCTTTATGAATTCACTTGAATACAGCAATTTTGAAGGCCACTTTGTGGGATACTTCAACCTGATGCCCAGTGCTATGTGACAGCCAGTTTAAAATACACACACACACACACACACACACATGCACAAACTGATATAATGTTATTCCACTGCTAATTTGACTTCATATTCATGTTGAAACGAAGAATTTTGTCATAAATTAGGCAAAGTCAAACTGCCTATTTTTCAACATGTTAATCACTACACTGTGATTGGTTGTTGATCTCCATGAACCCATCCAATGGAACTCACAAAAACAGTTTCTTATTTCTGGCCCAGCACAGAGTTGGGACTGAGTTAGCACTGACTTTTCAGAGCTAGAGTTTATAGTCATGAAAACAGGAAGAGCTGTAGGGAAGTTCTGGCTCTGGGTAAGAACCGGCTCCTGCTGGTGGAACACACTCCACTCCTACATGGGGGGGTGGGAGGGCTCCTCAGTTTAGGAGAGTATGTGGGAGATATTGTCCCACAATTCCCACTTTTCCACACCTTCAGTCTTGTTTACACTATGACCATTAAAGCTGGCATTTATTTATTTATTTATTTATTTATTTATTTATTTATTTATTTATTTATTTATTTACAGCGGGTAAAATAAGTATTGAACACGTCAACATTTTTCTCAGTAAATATATTAC